AAGCTATGGCTATAACCGTTTGAAAAAATAAAGCAACACAATTCAGATTAGGCTAGCAGTAGTGACTGATTATTTTCTGTACCACTAAATACAGTAAATATTAAAAGATGTAATGTATACTCCAGTTGGCAGAGGTGATTGTGTGTTGCAGAATGTGACCAGTCATTTTGGGAGGAAGGTGGTGAGAGAGGGGGGAAAAAGGGAGCAATTTCAATCAGGAGGCCTGGACCCTTTTTGAGATCCCCAGACCTCCTTCAAATCCTTCATCCCTCAGAGTGATTTATTGGTACAAATCCAAGATGACAAGGTGGCAGGAGAAGCTACCAATCCTCAGATCACACAGAGGTGGAGCTCACAGTGAATTATGGGTGAAGTTTGGATACACAGTCAATAATAAGATCAGAATTGGTTTCACGAGGGAAGGAAACAATTCAATTAGAAATACATGAAATTGGAAATATGCTCTTACAAATATCCAGGTTGCGTTTTAGAGAATTACCAAAAAACGCATGAACCGAGGGCTATATTATAGAAAATTAAAGCTTATTCAAGTGTGTCATACTGCTTTGTGACATGGTCTAACTGTGTTGTTTGTTATCTTAAAATAATGAAAAATGAGTTTAGAACTTTATCAAGTTCTAAATATTCTGAATTCCTGACAGACACAGGGGTCTCAAGAAAATGCTGCTGGTGAAATGTACTGTCACAGTCTTGTCCTTGTCCGTTATTCAGGTAGTGATGATTTGATCAGCTTAAGCAATCAATGCTTTTGTAAGGAAATAAATGCATGTTCTACCCTGACCTAAGGGCAAAACAATACAACCATTTGTATGCTTGCTTTTCTTCCTGGAGAATAAAAGCTGTTGAGCAGAGTGCAATTCATTCTGGTATGAGAAAATAACACAACCGACCTAGATGCAAGTATGTTCATTTGTATCTTACAGAGGGATTTGATAGAGATGTTATCATTGCACCATGGGGTCATAAGCCCACGTTAGCCATTTCACAAAAGTTAACAAAAAAGTATAACGAGATATACTGGCACATTACTAAGAAATGAAACTAAGTCTAAGCTACAGATATTACATCTTTGAGTGTGTGTATCAAGGTGGGAAGGCATTGTAACAGCCACAGTAGCTGATGTAACTGAGGCAAGAATGTATCGAGCAGGACATTACAGTCATTCATTTGTTCATTAATTTATTCACAACCACTTTTAGCCAAGGACATGTTACTAAATGTCTCATTTTTTTGTTAAAACATCTTTAGTAGAAAATCTCAAACAGTCCTACTATAGCTCTGCATCAGAAAACCAGCTAAGCACATTTAAATGATCTTGGTGTAGCAGGGTTGGTAATAAGCACCCGTCAAATATGGTGGGTTTTTTTTGGCAGTGACGGGTGAATGAAAAAACACATGCTTTTAAAACAACACGTTTTATCTTTCCTCTCAGTCGAGGTTCATTTTCAGCTAAATCAGCTCAATGAGTAAACCTTTTAGGCCATGGCTGCAATGGAAACTCTGACCAGCCTCAAAATAATCAACTAAAACTTGTTTTTTGGAGCGCGAGACAAAGAGCATGTCAGTATTTTCTTTAAAAGTTGAAACATCTCCCTTCATAAAATAGCCTGTTACTTGAAAACTGGGAGCCCTGGTTTGATATAATACATCATTACATTACGGGTAAATTAAAGTGGGAGGTAAAAAAAAAAACAAGTGACTGGTACATTTTTTAATCCACCAGCCACAGTGGCAGGTAAGGCAAAAATGTAAATTTCCAACCTTGTGGTGAAGTAAAACTTCAAATAAACTAAACACAAATGTGTTCTAATTTCACGATGTGGTGACTTTACTTGTGCCAAGAGGAAGGTTTTAACATGGCTTTGAAGCTTTTTCTACTTTGGTATGATATGGAATTGAGGTTCAGAAAGGCTCCTGTGTTAAAATATCAAAGATTCTTAATAATCAGAAGAAAATAACACAGGTAAGACAGAATATTATAAAAAACACCCACAATGCAATAATGTTTGTGTCACATCAATTTGTAGTCATTATTCTGAGTAAAAGTGTTAAAATGAAGGACTTCTACTCAAAGCCACAACATCAATTATCCACTGAATAATATATATTGTTTTAAATCACTGTAGGCCTTGAACGGATGTTATCCCATTTCTGGATATGAGTTAAATCAATACCACAGTATAGTTTCTTTACTGCTTACATATTCAAAGTTATTTCTGAACCTAGTGAAGCCTTGTGTCTGCTGTGTATTGATAAAGCACAGTCCTTCCCTCTGTCCAGGTAATATCTGGACCATGTGCAGCATGCTCCCCCTGCCTCCTTACATAATCATCTGAATGCTAATCAAAATTGACCTTGATACTGGCAGGCTTTGATAATGGCTTAATCCTGAGAGAGAGTCTCCTAAGGGAGAATGTCCGTGTGCTGGACTTGTCTTAGTTATGGTTAACCTCTTGCTTCCGTTAGGAGACCAGCTCTCCTCTGCTCCCAGGCTATGAGCTGCATACTGATTTATGATGTAATGCAACTAATATTCAGTTGTTTTTTAGGGAACCATTACCTTGAAGAGTTTACAATTTTTGTTATAATATAGAAAAGTAATGATAACAAAAAGTCACCAATTTTGAAGCAGTAGTTATAGGTGTACTTCTACCTTGAATATGAGAGAATGAGTAGGAGTGAAGTCAGAGCTAATGTGATGAAGTGGGAATGACACAATGGCTCTTCATTTGAATGGCTTTCAGCATTTCTTTCTGCATAAATAGGATGTGAAAGACATCATGGCTAAAATCAAAAGAAGTACAAGCTGCACTATTTCAGTCGAGATTGAGCTATTACTGTATAACACTGCAGTCTCATTTTCAGTGATACATGTAATATGAGCACACACATCTTAAACTGTTAATAGACATAGTACCTGCATAAATACAGAGGCAAAGTGGCCTAAATGTCATTGCAGCACTTCTCATAAATTCCTACTTTTACATGCTGTAACAGTGGTAAAATATCATCCTTCATTTTGAAATTCACAGGCTTGGTGTAAAAACTCACAAAAAGTTGAATGTTTTAGGGTGGCTGTATAAGAATATGCACCATTTCATCTGGTGGTGAAGGTAATGAAACAAGACTGTGTCCAGAAGACAGAAAGGTGGCTAACCAATTACTAACAGAGCTTTTACACTGGAGGAGAGAAAGTCTGAAGCAGCAAATCAAGGCAGGGGAAATTATGCTTTCCCACAGAAATTATCCCTGATTGCACTTATCAATGATGTGCATTAATTGCACTACCCCCAAGCATTGTAGATGACCCTTTGATTACATTTGAATCCCCCTACATTGCTGTCAGTGTCCCTTTGAACTAACCCCTCCCACCTCCGCCACACTCCCCCATGCCTCAGACAATCAACAATCAGAAATCACATGCTTTTTGTGACAGGCTGAACACAGGTTTGTGCACATGAGACTTCTTCCTCAAGAGAGAATAACAGGATGGTTCAACAGTTCTACGTCCTGTGTGTGAGATGTTTGGTTCGGCTCAAATGGTAGTGGTGTGGATAAATAATTTATCGTGTACAGTCAGAGTGTAAACATTGGCTGTGGTGTATCTTTTCATATGAAACCCATAAAGATGTGTTTATATGTTTCCAAATAAACATGAAGTATGTTACTAAGAAGAGAGTTAAAGGGGAATCTTTTCAATCAAAACTGAAATTGAAAGCAAAGTAGAAGTTTAAAAGGATAAGGTTTGAGAAGTTTTTTTTTTTAAGTCCTAAATGAAGGCTATCATGCAAGTTGTTTTTAGCTTCATGTTAGTGTGTATTAAGTTGAAAAGAGCGGCTTTATTTCATTTTCTTCAGTTTCCCTGAAAGGAGAGCCGGAGCTTGTAAAGGATTTGGAGACACATTATTCAGCGGTGCTCTGCTGTTCAACAGGCAATAGAAGCTTTCAAAAGACATGGAGCTGGCCAGCACACGGCCTCTGATCACCGTGTTCCTCTTTGCCTCAAAGTAAATCCAATAAAATTGACTTTTACAGGCAAGTCAGCAAAGGTTTCAACCTTTCTCATTTACTTGGCGTTAACGTGATAAAGACTCGGTAAAAGAAGATATAGAATAAAATATGAGGGTGGATTAAAAGAAAAAAAGAAAAAATCTACAAACAGAAAGAGAGGAGAAGATTTGCAAGAGTGTGAATTGTTTTGTAAAAAAAACCACCAAAAAAAGAAAAAAACACAAAAATGCCACGTCTAATTTTACTCTGAAGACCTGTAGGCGTGTTTGTGCTTTTAATGTCTTCCAATGTAATCATGAAGTCTCCTTAACTGTTACAGTACGCCATTGAAAACCCTGTTTAATTAGATGTGGTGATCAATGAAACGAGAAGCAATGGGTGCCCAGATTCAAGTGTGTGTTTTTCTTATTTTTTTTTTGCATCCCCGCTCCTTAAATAGTTCCCCAGGGTTTTCTGCAAGAGACATTTATTTACTGGTCTCAGCCAATTAACTGCCATCTCCTTCATTTCCACCAAATGACAAAGTTGATATAATTCAAATTTTGGTGAAAAATAGACATCTAAATATATACAGCACATGAAGTCTGTTCAGTCCACTTACACAATGGCTGGCAGCCTCAGTCAAGTGTATAATTAGTTGAATTAGATTAAATAACCAATTACGAGACTAACAAAGTAAATAAGCCTACAGGGACTCCACCAAATGCTTGAGAATAGAATTAGAGCGGAATTAGTTTATTGACAGGCTGAATGACAGTGTGGTCAGGCAAACAGCTCTATTCCTGTCTCAAAGACAGAGTGCTGGCTGTCGTCAGGGGACAGAGGGGAAAGTAAAGGGTGTGAATGTGTGAACTAAAACAAATGGGTGGAAATCAAGTAAACATATTGTTGGTTAAAAAAATAAAAGCCATAAAAGATGTATTTTATTTTTTGGAGGTGTGGGGATGTGATAAGAAATAGAGACATACCTCTGCTGGCACTTTCCACGTGATCCAGTTCGTCTGGAAACCTGAGAATGGCTTCATAATTCTCTTCACACTTATCGGCCAGGAAATGAAGAAGTGTTGTGTTCTGACCGATGGATTTGGTGTCTCGAAGCTGAAAAGAAGAATAGAAATAAATTCAATAACCCAGTTTTTTTTTTTCCCCCAGTTATTTGCCCTTTATTGTTGTACCTTTCTCCCTCGCTCTGTCTACCCATGTTTCAGTCTCCACACAGGATTTCAAAACACAAGCAAACACACCAACCGTAGAAAGTGTGGTACAAGGTAATGACGAACATGCATTTTTCAGGTGGCAGTTAAGTGCATGGTTGTTCTCCATTTTTAAATGCTAGACTGGCCGCGGCCACAGGACATTAGGGGGAAACTAAATGAAATCTGATTCAGCACACTTTTGCATCCAATTACTGATGTCTTAAAACAAAAATACAACTATGTGTATATTAGCCAATAAAGTGCACATACAATAATGCAAAACTCCAGAGAATAAACAGTGATGAAAGAAAGTTTGAACCAAAGTACTTCACTGTGTTTACTAAAGATATAGTGTGTGTGTGTGTGTGTGTGTGTGTGTGTGTGTGTTTGCCTGTGCTTATACACAAATGCCAGAGTCTCCACATCAGTGCATAAGGAACTTGTTCCATATTCAGTCCCCACCGTGATTGCCATGCTGTTCGAATGGCATGCTGGGAAAACTAATTATCACAACCCACCTCTGTGTACTCATACTGATCATATCCGCGCTGTAAACAGCCTGCAGTTGGACATGCCCACACATGTGCACACGCAAACACACGTGTGTACAAGCTCTGACACTCACACACATTCAGACAATAGTGAATTGAAACAATTACCGGCAGTCAAAATCATACCCTTGTGCATCAACACAAACACACACACACACACACACACACACACACACATTTTGTTAGATGAGGATCAATCATTTGCTCACGTTGGGTAATCACAATTTAATTTCATGGATTTTAAATTTTAATTTGTTTATTGTTGTCCCCTGAACTGTCATTACCGCACAAGAAGGTGCATCTCTGGTATGCTGATTTCATCTGCTAACTAATATTAGTAATGTGTAATAAAGAGAGGGTAAACTGGGAGAGGTAAAAAAAAATACAATCAGGGAGTTGTGAAAGGTATCAGACAGTCGACTTACTGGAATAATAACTCTGAATAATGTTGTTGGATAATACATTATGTATCTCTAGATTGTACTATATAGTCCTTGGCCTCACTGATATCATGTGCTAATGAGTCAGAGTGATATCTTTCACCTGAACAGATGTAGTGCTCATAAAGGGCAGGACTACGGGCACGCTTAGGTGTTTCATTGAGTGCACTCAGTTAAAGTGGGTTAAAATAAAACTGTGTGGTTCCATGTAATAAGGCAGCCATTTGATGTATCTGATGAAAACTGGAATTATATTAGCATTCAGAGGTGAATATCACCGACATTATAAGACTGAACCAAGTCCACAGAGCGTTGATGTTTATTAACTCTGAAAACAAACCACTCATGTCTATATCCAACCCTGTACGCAGTGAATAATAAAACTATTTCTACATTTTGAATTTTAATGTTCAAATTTTATCTAAAATGTATAAAATATAACATATATAACAAAACAGGGGCATAAGCATCATATAGAGTAAATTCTGTTTAGAAAACTTCAATCCTCATGCAACCAACAGACTCAAAGTATCTGTGACACTTGTGTTTGTTTGTTTGTTTTTCATATCATATGTTTAATATCTGTCAAGACATTATTTTTGTTAATGTTGTTTAATGTTAAAAGTAAAATAAAAAGGGGATACTACTTTTTTTTTTAATTCAATCAGTACCATACACAAGTTTTATTCTTTTTTTATTGTGATTTGTTCAGAGGGACTTTTCTAAACCGCAACCTTTTAAATGTTCTGCTCTTTTTTTTTTGTTTACCCTTCACGGTGTGTTAATAAATGATTATCTTAATTTGTCCCTGACGCAGAAGGACCTAATGTTGTTGTTTTTGTCCAGTACAGTGTCTTAACAGTGTTTTGAATATTTCAACAAAACTTTTGAATATGTTGCAAAAATAAAGGAAATTATTTACAGTTTAAAATAGAAAAAAATAAAATTAACTTCAATGGATTTTCATCAGTTTAGATAAATGTTTTATGTGATTTATTTGCTGATCATTAAGAGTTCAGATATTAGAATATGAGTTTGAACGCAACCAAAACAACAGACCATTGCATTCAACTGATTGTTGTTTATGTCCAAAAATACTCCTTTAGAATGTTGTGGCACTGATACAAATTTTAAGCTCAATTTTTTTTATCAAATTTAAGTTATTTTAAGAGTGGCCTTAAAACAATGCTTCTCTCTGGCGCCTTTGGCTGCTTGTTTACTGTGTGTGTGTGTGTGTGTGTGTGTGTGTGTGTGTGTGTGTGTGTGTGTGTGTGTGTGTGTGTGTGTGTGTGTGTGTGTACATATGTACGGTCGTGTATAGTCCTGTTTGTGCGCTCTAATAGGAACAGAGACGTGTGTGTGTTGTATGGATGGTGCAGGATCCATTTCATTTATGAATGTGTTTTGGATTTAAAATGTGCTTTTGAATCTATTTGTTCATTTTTTTACCGAGTTTGTTTGTCCTATATAAAAAGTTTAAATTTGTATGAAATGTGATATAAAAATAAAGTTGAATTGAATGAAATGAAAATAAACCATTTGTAGCTATAATTTGGTAAATTAAATATGTTTATGTTGCAGATATACTTCAGATTGCCATTGCATATTTATGTAACTTGTTGGTAAAATACAAGACTCGTTGATATGACAGATACTGTATTTTGTGAGAGAAAAGGTTGAGATATTTTTCTTTTTGGGCAAAGGTAAGACATTCTGCTAAGGGGAATGGGAATACTGAATGAAGCCGGAGGTGCTGATGTTACTTTCACAATATTTTACATCAGGTATTTCAGCCTGAGCAGCTTTAAGGTATCGTGAGAACTGCAAGAGGGGCCGTGAGGTATCTTTGCAAAGGCTGTATAGGGAGCTGGTCCAAGCCTGAGGCCATTTTTTTAATCATAGTCCACACCTTGTCCAGGCAATTTCAAAGTTTGTGCCAAAAGACAAAAAAAGGGAAAAAGGATTTTACTGTCTGAGCTTCTAGTCTTTTGGAATTCTCTCCATGGAAAACAACCTCAAGATTTACTTTATGTCTTTCATTTAACACCATACCTAAACAAAATGCGTACAAATGCTACTCTTCCAAACAAATCATTACATTTGAAGTAGATGTAAAATCACTGCTTCATAACTGCTTTTCTGAAAACAATTTCCAAATAGCAATATCATTCAGCCTTTCGAAACATGAATTGCCTTGAGGTGCTATATATTTCAAATCCCACACTAGTTAAACCAACATCTCCATTTCATTTAGAATTTACATTAGCCACATATACATTACAGGCATACCAACTTCAACTTAAATATCTAGATTCAGAAAAATAAACAACCAAATCATTAACTTAGAACAGAAAGAGTGCTGATGGCAATCTAAAACAGGAGAGTCCTTGTCAGTCCTTTAATTAATCATTTGAACATTTTCAGATGGAGCTGCAGCACAGGACACACACATGATGCTGTAGCCGTCCTTATATAGCTGAGTTCTTACTTAATAGGAAAGAAAAGTACAAATAGTATACAATTTAAAAGAGCATGCAAGGCCACAGTTGAGAAAGAGTTCTATGAATAAGAGGGAAATAGTGACTCTATGAATCTAATTGTTCAATAACTTATATCTGTTGCAGTAATTATAGCTGCAGAGAAAAGCAGGACACAAGGTCACACTGATGTCTTGTAGATGCTGCCTGGATACCAAGTTGAGTACTTAAGAGTACGCTTGTATACTTCAACCTTAATTGAACACAAATTATCGCCATGTGGTCTTTAATAATTAAGCAGAGTCTGTGGAAGTGTTTTTCACAAAGATGGGGATAAAGCCCAGGAGGAACAATATTTCTTTGTTTTTTTTTAGACATACAGCAGATGGTTTTATCCATTTACACAATGTGTTTTACACTATGGAGGCAGACCCCCCGCTCTACATTATTATGTTGTGATTTTCTTTTTCTTTACAAAACAAGTACACTTGTCATTTAAAGTTTACCCCATGTTTTTGACAATCAAATTTGCATTCTTTACAAAGCTAGTACTTATGATCAGCCCTGTTGAATGAATGCGACGAGGATACCTCTCAGGAGATTTGTGTGTCCCTGGCATGTCAACATGTCAGCCCCTCAACTTTGGTGTGGGGCTGATGGTGGAAGGCAAAGGTAGGTCAGCTCCAATGCCCTTCTGCTTTCCGCTCGCTCCCATCATCAACCCCCTCCTCCCTTATGAGCCCATTAGGTACCCTAGACCTGCCACCCAGGGGGCCATTTACTTGATTGACTAAAGTGAGAAAGCAGACTTTTTTTTTCATGTCCATCTATAATGGCCCAATCAGCCCCCTGAGGCATTACCAGGCTCTACACTGACACTCCACAATGATTCAGTCTGCTTGAAAGGATCCCAAAGACATGCTGGATTCTACACCAAAGCCCTTTTCACACTTGCATGTTTACTGGCTTTTGACATTCACATGTAGGTCTCACATATGGAAATAATCAATGTAGAGAGTTTGCACGTGACATCACAAGTCGATTTGACGCGATTCTTCATGATGGACCAATGTCATTTCTACTCTTTACTTTTGTAGCACCGATGCAGAACAGAGAGAGTACAAGAGAGTATTGATACCAAACGCCACACAGGCAGCCTAAAAGATGGATCCAAAGTGTTTATTACCCAACAAGAGCTCAAAGCTACGGAATCCATAAGCGGATATACATCCATACATTTTTGATTTCCTGCGATAACGAGTACATTTTGGTTATTTTTTTCGAGATCCAGACTAGATAACAATGTTTGTCGTCCAGCTGATTTGTCGAGATCCTGAGAAAAGGGCAGCGAATTAATCAAATACCATGGTAAAACAGGCAATGTTATCCCAAGATGATGAGACAAATAAGTTAAGATCTCAAGAAAACAATCAAAATGTACTCCTTATCACAGGAAAACTGAGTTAAATAAAATGCAATGATGCTTGTCCGTTTAGGGCTTCACTATAGAGCACTCTAGAGTAGGCTGTGAAATAAACATCCACTTCAGTTCTATAAGCTATTAAATAGAGACACTGAATACAGCTACCTATGTTACTCAACACTGTGCCAAAGCTATTTTTAAAGGGACAGACAACCCGGTGTTATATCTACATGTTTTGTTGGATCGCTATCCTGTAGGCAGTTGACATGAAAGAAAGTTGAATATTTAGGGCAACCTGCAACCTGGCTGATATTTCAGTGTGGTGAATGGGGCAATGTTTCACAGAGAATTCTCCTGGAAGTTGAGTATCATCTCTACAGCATAACATTTAGGGACTGAAATAATGATTTAAGTACAAAGTGGTGATGGCGGGGCAGATGGTGTTTCTGTCCCACCACAAGTTTCTACATTTGAAACCTACATTTGTGGTTTAAGGATATTGTTGAATCCAACCTTAAAGGCATTTTTTCATTTTGATATGAACATTCCATTGCTTGGTTTACTGACTGTCTATTCTCATACCTTAGCCTAAGGAATCTTCCTCTCAGGACCTAGAATATGAAAACCTATTTTTTTTACTGCCTGTCTGATTAATGTTATTGTTTATTAGGATCCCCATTAGCCATGGCACATGGCCACAGCTACTCTTCCTGGTGTGTGTGTATGTGGGTGTGTGTTTAGCCGGTCAGGTCTGCTTCAAGAGCTCGCTTGTGCTTATAGCTGTGTGTGCAGGCAGCCGGTCCTCTCTCTCACACCTCTGCATGCTGTGATTTTATCTGGCAGGGGACACAAATGCTGCCTTTATCTGGCTCCAGCTGCCCTGTCATAATTATGCTATTTGTTGTTTGACTGTTGACATTGAAGTGAAGATCTTCAAATTCCCAGTTTCTGTGAAGACCTTTTGAGGCATTATTGTGAGAGGTTTGAATTAAAGACTTGCTATAACATCTGTATCAATCTGTTAGACCAATAATTTAACAAACAGCTGAGTATGATACATTTATTTTTATCATCTAAGAACAACATCTGATGGAGGTGTGACAGGTGTGATTGAGAGTTATGTATCCTTTTCAGATTCATATACTACAGACTTTGAAGATACCACATTTGATTGCATGTTTAATACATCTATCATACATAAACAGAAGAGGCTTCACACTGAGATGTTGAAACAAGTTCTCTAACTAAATTTGGTCAGAAAGAATAATCTATGTTGTCTTTCTTCCACTTTCCATTCTTCAATAGCTAAAACTTGGATAACTAAAATGTGTTACTTGCTATGTATGTTTTAACGCTGCCGCTGTCAATTTTAATTTTATGACTACATATGAAGAAGAAGTTTCATAGATTTATAGAATGAGTTTTCTACTATCCTATATCAAACTAGTACCTGAAGAATACAATTTTATGGAACTGTTACATCAACTGAAACATGGCTACATTGTCTTGAGTGCTAGACCAGTGTGTTACCTTGCAGAGGAAGCTGATGTTGAAACCAAACGTCTGGGCGTTCCTTGAGCCGGCATTCATGTAATTGCCAACCAGCAGCACCAGCTCCAGGAGTTTGCTGAAGCTTTCGCTCTTCTTAACCTCCTCGCAGGCGAACGTCACGTTCATGATGTCGGGCCGGATGTTGTTCACCTGCTCCTCAAAGGTCAACTTGAACAGAATACCGTTGAGACGTGGTCGCAGGAGTTTCACTGAACTCATCTGAAGGAAAATATTTGGAAAAGCAGAAACGTAAGTGGTTAGTAACCATGGCTGTAACCATCCAATAAAAAGTTCCTAGCTGCAGTTCAACACGATGACTATGATCAGGGTAAATAGAATTCCCCATCCTGCCCTCCACTTAAATTGATTTTTAAAATAATAATTTTGTGTTCCCCAGCTTTCTCTTGGTGTAGGGCCAACATGGTTACCTTCAGTCACTTGTACAATACACAAGCAAACAGTTTCTGGCTAATTTACAATAACTTGGAACAAAAACAAATGATTTAATTTTCTTGTTTGTTTTTTGGTACTTAGACAAACACACACGTTATTTTGAAGAGGCCCGCAATGCCCCCATGCAAAAATGAATGTTCAAACTTCACTCTTAAATTGAAATGTTCCTTGATGCTTAGAGGACTACCAATCAGTCTAGTATTTGCATTAGAAATAATGATGTATGCATGAAGGAAAAATCTACTCTTGATTACAAATGAGATGTGGCTCACTTATTTGCATTAAGGTACTGTTTAAAAACCATGTAAATGTATTATTATGGTTCCAACGCCATGAATTCAGCCTGTAATCAATCCAGTATGTTCACTTTAGCAAATACAGCAAATACATTCTATACAGCTGAACAGCATTGCCATCCACTGTTACGTTGAACCTGCAGTGTAATTACAGCTACTTTAAATAAACTGAAAATGAACTAGCCTCTTTAGCAAATGGGGCTAACCTCTTTCCAGCCTCCCTCCTGACTTTCATATGTACAAAGGAATCCCCCATTACACAGATTTGTCATAAATAATAAAACAGCCTCAATCAATACTTGTGGGCTTGGGAGTGGAATTACTGAAGGCAGTCAAAAATGAGAGCAATGAAAGTGGAAGGGAGTTAAAACAAATAAGGTTTTGGCTGTAAGATATGTGGCAAAACAGCAACCACAGACAAATTCCACAGATTGCTGCATAATCCGGTGCTCGGAGGCATTCTTCAGTTCCAGCCCATAATGTTTCATTACTGCTCAAATGTATTCATGTGTATGGGCACGTTGTCTGTCAAACAACTCTCCACTTCCCTCACTCCAAGAATCCCGCCCACTTCCAAGTCCTTGCACACGCACATATGCATAGACACACGCACTCGCACACACTGGCGCAAACACTCCTGCCATCTCCCTCACTTGAATTGATTTGTATACAATAAGGAGAAATCACAATGAATGCCAGCACGTTGGTGACAGCTCTGGCAGAGAAAAGCTTGAACATGGCTTATTTCCCAGGGGAACTAAATAGCTCTGCATTGAGGAGCTACTTCATCAGCAGGGAGGCATATGATCACAAAATTGGTGAGATCACAAGGGAGACTGCCACCCCCTGCTTCATTACATCTCCTAAAAGACACAGGCAAAGGAAAGCCTCCAACGAATAAAGAGACTAGCTGGGGAGACGCAGCACAACTGCGACCCTTGGGTCTAATTGAACATTTATTTTTTTGTAAAACTGCGTAATGTAACTCTGTGATCTGGTGTTGAAGTTAAGTTTAAAAGATAACAGTTCCTTTTACAGTTGAATAAAGTGCCTGGGTATTCACTTGGTAAATGGATGGCAAGTGCAGTTAATTAAAAAGTAATTACAGCAGTAACTAAGTGGAAAGGTCAGAGCGGCTTGATGATCTGCTGCTCTTCCCTGTTCAATAGATTTACAGTTTAACTGTGCCTTTCCAGTCAGCCGTCATACCAGCTGGAAATGAAGAAAGGGCAAAGGTGGGTGTGAGAAGGTCAGATCGTCCTCACCCAAAATATGATGTACAGGTCAAGTGTGCTGACAGCTTTTTTTTTTTTTACAATGTTTTAAGTTACCTCTTTTGGTTCCCATGACAGGACCAAAGATGGAAGTCATGTCACATAAAAAAATAAGAGAAATAGTCTGTAAAGGGTGGAAACAAGGTTCTAGATAGGTTAAGTAAGGACTAGAGGACTGGGTTTTTGAGTATGTACTACATACCAAGTCACTAAGGTAATGTAACTCATGTACAGTATTTGAGTATCTACTCATCTTAACACAAGAAGGTTTTTTTTTTTTTTTCCAAAACAGAAAAAGTAGTTTGAGGGCATACATGTAAAGTTAACCGTGTACATGTATGATGATTTAAAATGTATTACACAACCATTTCTGGTAGCCAAAGTTTTTTTTTTTTTTTAATGACAGAATTAGAAAAAAGTTTATTTCAGATTATACAAAAAGTAAAAAAAAGTTTGCAACAAGGTTGATAGAGAGGTCAAAGTCAAAAATTCTAAATAGAGGTTTAGATTATTGAGTAACCATGGGATCTACTACAAAATGAAATGTACATAATATCTCTAAAGACAGGTATGCAATGTAACTCAAACATGAGCCATGCATTTTTTTTAAACCTTTAAATTCTCCATTTAACTTAAATTTAGGTTTCTCCTCTAGTTTCTTTGCCGACTGGGAAAAATTGACAGTTTCAGCAAACTCAGTATTATATACTAAAAAGAAAACCAGTGTCTTAATTCTTAATTTTGTCAGGTCTGAAAAAATGGGAATTTCTGAAAGCCATACTCTAAGTTTGCACCATATTACCCACATCATTATTCATTCTATTGCTGAAAATATGGTAGAACTTTTCAAAGACCTTTATTACAGACAGGATTCATAGCCGTAGGGTATGATTTTATCATGAGACATCATTGACAGTTGATGTCAAAAAAATGGCATTCACTGAATTCTTGATGCTGACTCTTAATCAAAAATGTCTGAACTGTTCTTTGCAAGAGCCAAAAGTGCTTTTAGAAATCATTGCTTCTGTCATTTGGAAGTTGGGCTAAAAAATATTGACTTTCTTCCATTTAATATGCTTTTAATACTGTTAGATCTTTTAATAAAATATAAGTGTGATTCTTGGGGGAGTATCCATTTAAATTATAGATTTTTACATTTCCTAGTCTCTCGCTTACCTACCGTCCCAATCAAGCAGCCCCCCTCCAAAAACATGGATAAAACCATGCAAGAGAAACACTCACAGAAGTGTGTGTGTGCCTGTGCGAGTTATACTGGGACACAAAGAGTGAGTAATGAATAAAAAATTGAATTTCTCAACTGTGCATGCTTGCTTGTGTTTTACTGCAGCCGACTGGGAGTATGGTTGTGCATACTGTGTGTTCTCTCGTGGCGATTCAGTAGTCACCAGGAAATTATACTCACCACAATGCCAAACTGCTCCGACTCCACTAGCTCCTCATATTCACCCTTTAGTTCCGCCAGCGCACTCAGCTCTTTCTGCTCTGGCAGGTTCTTTATCAGGTTCTGCAAATGGGAGAGCACACACAAACAAAGACGCACGTACAAGACAAACACACACACACACACACACACACACACACACACACAACAACAAAGTGTTAAAAAGTCTCATTTCTGTCGATGTCAGGATAAAAATCACCTCGCAGACAAGGATGACAGGGCAGTTAACACAGGCAGGGGAGAAAAGAAGGCCTACAAGAAGTGCTACTTAGTGTATTGAACCCAAACGGCAACCTCTGTTGTTTACAAAAATGGAGCCAATGTGGAAGTGCAAAAAGCTGCAGTTCCTAAAATGTCCACTTGAGACTAGCTGCAAAAGTCTATTAATTGTATGTTATAATGCCAATTATTTCAGCAGAAATTAATATGTTTTATTACCTGGTCCAAAAATGAAATTTGGTACCAATAGCAGATTTCTTAATTGGTACACACACTGAGTATTTATAACCGTAGATCTGTTTTGATTTGTTTGAGCATAAGAGTAATTCATTGATGTCCATAACTAGGGTCGATGCTGAGCTGACCAACAGGTGGACACATTGTAGCGGTTTGTGAGGAGGCTTAAGGCCACCCCTTTTCCTGTTTCTAGATTGATTCAAAATGAGGTGGAATTAGCATTTCAAACATGCCAGCCACCATTGTTCATCAAAAAGCCTGTTCAGAAAAATCAATGGGTGACATCACCGATATCTGTAACACAGTATAAGCCTAAAATGTATTTGCCATGGAAGAACGAGTAATCACATATAAAGGCATGTAATACATCTATGCAGATGAGATGAAAACTAACAGTGACAGAGAGAACATTGTCTTCCCAAAGGTTTGTTTTCATTAGGCGAGATTACGGTTAGAATTCATATAGGTTTACCATTTGTCTAGTGGAAGAATAAGTAGATAAGGTCACATAATCACTTCTCGCTGTTGGCTTTTTACTGTGACAGTGGTGGCCCTTAGCCAATTACACAATGTGTCAGGGGCTTACAGATAACTGACCTTCTGCTGCATAATCCACATCACCTTGCAACTGTCTAGAATACATGCAATGGGTTTTTGCAATTAATTCGCTATTTTTTTTCCCTGTTAAATCTCACAGCAAAAAATGGAGAAGATGCAGCTGTTGGTGGGGCTGGAGATTAAGATGGAGATGAGGAGGAACATGGGAGGGGCTGTGTTTCATGTAAATGTTAATTGTTTGTGTGAAGGTCAGCCAAGTTAATAAAATTGACCAGCGCGACTTTTCCCTCTTTTTCTCTGAGGAGAAGAAGAGGAAGAGGTGCCCTTTTCCACTTTCTTCACAAAGCTTCCTTCCTCATTAGCTCTCCAAATGTATTCGGCAGAAGCAGACTGGCGCAGAGTCACGTGCACAGATGGGAAACTAGATGACGAACACAGAGAGGAGACACTGCTGCTGGGCCATGGGCCTTCTGACCAACATAGAGACCTACAACAGGGATCTTGTCCAGAGTCTACTGCCCAGTAATGATGACATATTTGTCCTTCCCTCAGGGACTTCAGCAGTCTAAAAGAGTAAGTCATAATGCACGCCTGGCTTTCCATGTTTTGGAGGGAGCCATAATATCAAATCTTGCTTGCTTTTGCTGAAGCTCCAATTAGGGTCTGCAGCAAGCAATGGTGCCAGGATAATGAAGCCTTTTGATCAAATCAGCAGAAGCAGAGAGGATTGTTGGTCGTATAAACAAATAAAAAATAAAAAACGTCTGTGTAATTGGATTAGTAAGAAAGGGTTTATATTGGAGTTAACTGATGAATGCGCACATGGTTTTCCTTGTTTCTCCACTTAAGTTTCAAAGCAATAAATATAGACTGTATACCATACAAAGCTAATAACGCTAATAATCCACTCAGGACTTTCACAAAGACGCTCCTCATGATGTCGTTTTATCTACTTAGGGATTCTTTTATGAAGATAGGGCAAAAAACCAAAGCAAATATACTAAACCTGAAGGCTTATTTACTGCTGTTAAGAAAGAAATACAGCACAGCTGCTAACTGGAATAACCATGTAGCTTCTAGTAAACCTTTACAGACTTTATAAAGGTTTCATTCTCAGTCAAGAAATATGTCTTAGGGAATGTATAATTATCTCACTAAAATGTAACATTGAAATAAAACGATTTGTACCATTCAGTCTCTACCTTGATTCAGTTCATCAAGGTAGAGATGAACTGATTTGGCAAATCAGGACTGATACCGATGTTTGAAATAAAAACTTTGCTGATTTCAAAACTGATGTTTGTCTCATGATTATTTTTGATGTAAGACTTCCACATTGCCAACATTTTATCTCATGTTTGACTATGGAAACAATTCAGAGTTTGTTCAACAGGTGTCTTCATCTGCCCAATAAAAAACACTCTTTTCTGAATCAGTAGTAAGGTGTACTAGATGCCAGCATTAAATGTGTTTGGCACAACAAATGAATACCTTCTACTGAAATTGGTTTGTTCCACATTGCTTGCCAATGTGCCGATGTCTGTCAACCGGGCCAATATCAATGTTGAAACGATGCATCGATGCACCCCTAGTGTAAAGCCTATTGAAATGTCTTTATGAAATTCCAAGACATGAAAAAATGGTCTGCCTATCTATAATAGACAGATGAATACAATGTAAATAAAACTAATATATGAAAGGGTTAAAGGTTGGATTAGCTTCTCAGCTTCTCCTTGACATTGTATCATTGGTTCTTAATGGATCGGCTTATAAACAGCACAAACCAACTTCTAACTAAATCTCATTATTAAAATGTTTTTTTCTCTCTAAAATATAAAAATAATTCGGGTAATGTCACATTCCTTTAACAGTTAGTTGCAGTTCATTGCCATAAAAAGAAATAGAGGCGGTTGTCCTTGCCAGTGTCTTAATTAATTAATTAATGTTTTTCAGCCCATTTCTAGTATTGTTTGTTCCCATTCATATTATCCTATTAAGAGCTGCTAATGCTTGATGGACATTAGCATCCAGAACTCCATAAACACACAACTGAGACAGTGCTTTAGATTTGCCATTTCCAAAGAACACAACTAAAAAAAACAAAGTGGATTAGATGTTTTAAAAATGGTGAAATCATTTCCAGAACATTCAAAATGCTTCAGATGAAAACATTTGTACACACAACATCGATGACAGGAAAACAGAGAATGAAAACCACCTTGAGCTTGTCATTTCATTCATCTGTCATCTTGTTAATTATTAGAAACCCCACGGAGCACAATTGACACAAAGGCAGCACCATATGTGAGGCAATGTGGGAGACTGGGTGATGATGCTGGGCCAGACTCCTCACCACAGGCCACCAGACACACACAGCAGTCTGGGGAAGAGTTCTGGAAGTATGCTTACAACAGCACACATTCGTTTACAGCACTGGAGGTAGAAGAGGCCGAGGGTGTTACGTATTAGCACACTTGCCAATATACAACGACAAAAACATAAACAGAACAAAACATCTTCTGGTAGTAACGTTAGAAAACCTACTGTCTCTCCTCCCAGAGATTAAAAAAAATAAAACAGTTTTTGGATGTGAAGATTGTGAAAATCAGTGGTAAACGCATTATGTACATTTGTAGGGTAAAACACATACATGTAATGGTATTTCAACACAGTTGTTGATTATTATAATGTAACTTACTGTACACTATATTAATATGTCCCCAAATATATTTTGACTGAGTACATAATCAGAAGCCTTCTGGTTTCTGCAGTGTAACTGTAACTATTTGTCCTGGTATTTTAGAAGTGAGATCAGGGTCTGTGCATTTCAGTGGCCCCAACATGTCATTTTAAATCTACATATATTATTCTCCGCTGTTATCGTTCAAAGGCTTTTCAGAGTTCCAGTAGTGTATATTTTTGTGCAAATCTTCGTTAGGCAGCCAAGAACTGTTTTTTTTTTTTTTTCTTAAATCCTAGATGCCATCATTAAAATATGTGTTTCAACTGTCATTCAACTGTGAGCTAAGTCTGACAAATCAGAATCAATTAATGGCTGTCAGAGACAGTGAGAGTCCAATAACAGATGCAGGAGCGCAGTTTAAGTGAATACTAAATCCATCCCTGCCAGTCAAAAAAACTGTGCAATGCTTCAATTTAAAGTATCAGCATGAAAAAGAGAATAGCTTATGGGCCCTTTTCGTCTTCTGAAACAGAGAGGATATTATTAATAATCATAGATGTGAATGGAAAGGGAAACATAAGAACCCTGAGAGAGCTTCACAACACTGTTTTCTGGAGGTTTCACCTCATGTTAACTTGAAACTGTCCTGTAACACACACAAAAAAAGATGTAAAAAAATAATTGAAGATGGTAAATATTTGCCAAGGTTTAAACCTTAAGGCTTGAAAGTGGATGCGAAGGAAAAATGGAGTGTAAACGTAATATGAGATACAGGTTACGCTTCACTAAACATTTGTGGAGGATGACAGTATCTGTAGGGCTTTCACTTCCATACTTTGATCTCTGCTGCTGTCAGCTAGCTTCCAGCGATGCAAGTTCACAGTTTTACAGCACCCGCTAACCCACGGCAAGTTAATACAGTTTAAAATGGGGGTATTAGGCATATAAATAACCGTACAGTTTACAGAACTGTGTGCTGTTAAGTCGGCAGGGGCTGCTGGAGTGCAGTGTGTTCAAAAGCTTTGATATTCGTAATATAATGAACTGAAAGTGAGCATTATTTCACATATCGAGGATAATTTATGGTCACTAACCCAAACTAAACAAAATAATTTAAGCCAAGCTGAACCACTACCTTTATTGAGGGATGAGCATTCTTTGCTTTGTGGAGAGGTCTTATAAAATCTGCCACACCAACTTTATGACCTCTACCTTGTGAAGCATATTCCCAACAGTAATGTTCAAATGATAAAGAAAACCAAGAAAACCTAGTTGGCGACACGATAATCAATACAGCTTTTCTCCGAGCAATAAAGTCTTTATTAAGATGGATTAAATAAAGGAGAAGAGGGGGAGAGTCACCCGG